GTGGCGGCGGGCGGAGCGGACGGCGGGGCGGCGGCGGAGCCCGCGCCCCCCGACGGGCCGGAGGCGGGCGCGCCCGCGGTGGCCGAGGCCGTAGCGCCGGCCTCGCTGGCGCTGCTGGAGCCCGACGTGAGCCCGCCGCCGCCGCCGCCGCCACCGCCTCCCCGGCAGTCGCCGCCCGACGTGTTCGCCGGCTTCGCGCCCCACCCCGCGGCCCTGGGCCCCCCGACGCTGCTGGCCGAGCAGATGAGCGTGATCGGCAGCCGCAAGAAGAGTGTGAACATGACCGAGTGCGTGCCCGTGCCCAGCTCCGAGCACGTCGCCGAGATCGTGGGTCGCCAGGGTGAGTGGCCGCCGTCTGGGGCGCTAGACCCGGGGTCCCCGCGTCGCGCGCCCTGGGGAGGGGGCCGCTCCAGCCCTGCTCGCGGCCGGACGCCAGACCCTGGCCACGCCCCGCGTGGGCCCCGGCCTCGGGGGCCGCCTTTGCGCCTTTGTCCTGCCGCGGGCCGCGCGAGAAAGTTGGGCGCAGCCCGCGCTCCTCCCCTCCACGCTCAGGCCCGCCGCTGCCTTTGTCTGGGCGCCTCCAGCCGGGTCGAGCCCCTCTGTGCGGCGCCACTGCCCAGGCCCTGGGCCACCTGCTGTGGCACCCCGAGAACCAGGGGGCAGGGCTGGGCGGTGGGCGATCGACACCCAAAGCAGGCTCGGGGCGGGGCTCGCTGGGGCTTGGGGGTGGCTCGGGGGCGGGGCAGGGGGCCTCAGGCAGGGTCAAGAGAGAAGTTTGGCGTACAAAGAGGGTGCATATCTCCATTTGTCAGCCTGGGGGCCCTGCTGGGGGTGGGGGGAGCACAGGATGAGAGAGGATCCCCACCCCGCTCTCAGCCCCGAGTCGGGGATTTGGGGACATGCTTAAGGACCAGCTGTAAAAAGATTCCTGAGGTCCAAGCTCCTAGCCTCCCCAGGGCAGGCCCAGGGCAGCAGGCCCGGGGTGTGGGGGGTCCCGCAGCAGCTTTGTCAGAGTCCCTGTGGCCGCCCCATTGTTCTCTTTGTTAGAGAGCCAGTCTGAGATTTGCAGGGTGACATCAGGCCGGCCGCAGCTCATTGGCCCTGGAGCTGGAGCTGCGGGGCGGGCAGGCAGGAGGGTGGTGGGCAGTGCTCCTCCGGACACACGCCCACCTATCCTTTTAGCCAGCTGCCCCCAGCCCCAACTTTCCCCTGCCTTCTGCCTGCCCCTCCCTGTTCTCCACTCCCTGCTTGAGGCCAGGTTCTAGAACTTGGGGTGGGGTCTGGGCGGGGCTTGAGGTGGAGCTGCAGGACACTCAGGCTGGCCTTTGGGGGGCTCAGTAACAGGAGCCAGAGATGGGGGGGGGCTTGAATTGCAAGGTGACTTGTCACCCTTGCCACCTGGGGGGAGGGTTGTGCAGAGGACCACAGGGATGCTCTGGACACTGCTTCCTCAGAGTTCTGGGTGGGAAGGGTGGTTTGCCCAGTGAGTCCTCTGGCTTTGGGTGCAGGTGCAGCCGATCACGTGTCCTCCCCCCATCTGGACACCAGGAGGGCCAGGTGTAGTGCTGGGCTGAGGGCCCAGGAGTTGAGACCAGGGGAGAGGGGACAAGGTGGTCCTTTGAGCCCCGTCGGCTGCCTCCCACAAGCAGGCACAGCAGGACTCCAGGCCTGACCGTTCTCCTCCGCCTGCCACGGCCCCTTCCCTGCCCCAGTCACCCGCACCTGCTTTGGGATGTATAACAGGACTGCTGCTGCGTGCGGAGCGTCCAGACGCCCGCCGAGGGCAGGGGGACGGCCGTGGAAGCGCAGCCTGGGGGCTGTTGTCCGGAGGCACTAGGCTGATCTGCCGGCTGACAGAGCGCGGAGCGGGAGGGCGTGTTCGCTGTGCGTGTGCGTGTTCTGGCAGCTGCGGGTCCTTCAGAGAGGCTGAGTCCACCCCAGTGGTGGCAGGAGCCAAGCAGAGGGCATCCGAACCTGTGCCTTTGGTTGTGGAGGAGCAGGTTTGGGGGGTCAGCCCCCACTCCGACCTCCTGGGTGTGCTTTTTGGCACCCATTTATTACAGCACCTCCCTTGGGCGCTTTTGTGAGGATTCTCCACCAAGAGGGTTCTAATCCCAGCCCCGGGCTGGTACGCAGTGGCACCCTGTAAGTGGGTGCAGGGTCCTGGGGAGGGAAGCATGAACGCCAGGACAGGTTGGCCCTTTTGGCAGCCCTTGACTCTCCCAGCTCTAGGGCCATCTGTGGCGCTCGTCTTTTCCCTCCCGGTGTTAAGCTCAGCCTGGACAACTGTTTGTGCCCCATCCTGACCCCTCCCTTCCTCTGGTCGCTCGTCCAGTCTCCCACCTTGGGGGTTCCTGGACACGAAGCCTGTCCCTTCTAACCGTCCTGGCTCTCACCAGGGCAGAAGGTACAGCTTGTGAACTCCTCTGTCAAATCCTAGGTCCAGGGCCACTCCATCCCCTAGAGGGCAGGCCAGAGTCCCCCAGACCTGGGGTCTGTCCTTCCCCTGATGCTCGCTCACTGTTCTCTGAGTTGGTTTTTCCGTCCTCGAATGGGTCCCTGCACCCCCTGGGCACAGGATAGGTGATTACAAGCCCTGAGAGTTCTCTCTTCTCCCTGAGGCTGAGTGGCACAGAAGGTGCCCTGCATGGGAGCCTCGAGAGATCCCTCGGGGAAGGTCATCTGTAGCTTCTGGTCACAGGAGGCAGGGACACGGCCAAAGCTGGGTCGGCAGGGCTGGGATTTGAACCTCAGTCCCTCTAGCTCTGGGTGCGCTGCAGGGAACGGAGGTGGCTCGGGAGAGGACTTCCTACCTTCCAAAGCTCCAGGATTGGGGGAGTCGGCCCCACTTTACAGAGGCCCCAGGAAAAGTGGAGACTCCGAAAAGCGTCCGCCAAGGTCACCTGGGAGGCTGGTGCCCACTTGTCCTGGGTTTGACCTTGGGCCTAGTCCTTCGGAGTCTCCCGTTAGCGTGCACCCTTGCTGGGGGTGTCCGTGTGGGGCTGGGCTGGGGTGTGCGCACCTGTCTGCTGCCCGGAGGTCTGGGTCAGGAGTGAGTGAAGGGTGGCCGTGACGGGCCTGTGCCGGCAGGCACCCGGGGTCCCTCTGTCTCTGCTGCTCTCGGGCGAGGGCCGGTGCACTCAGACTGGCCCCCCTCTGCTGGCGGAAGCCTGCTGTGCTCACAGCTCTCCCTCGCTGACCCCCTGTGCCTGGCCCCCCTCCTGCAGGCCTTGGATGCTCTTTCTGGCAGCTGGGGAAGGCCACAGGGCCACCAGCAGGGTCCGGGCCCTGGTGTTCCTGTTTATCCCCTGTGAGTCTGGGTTGGGGGTCCCTTATGTTGGCAAGCATAGACCTTCCTGTGTCTGGGGGGGGGGCGTCTCTGTGCCCACGGGCCCGCCCTGCTGTGATGTCCTGGCTGGCCAGGACTGCAGCCCAGTGTGGCCCTGCTTTGGGGACAGCACCCCACTGGGTTTGGGGCAGTGGTCATTGTGAGGATTTGTCCCCCAGCCCTGTCCTGCTTCCAGATCTCTGTGCCCTCAGCTAAGAGCCCTCCCCTGGCACTCATCCTTCCAAGGGTGAGCCCTTCTCCCCCTCGTGGCTTTGAGGTTTTGTTGATAAATGTAGCCCGTGGTTCCTGTGTGGGGCTCCTGGGAGTAGTGCCTGGAGCGCCCGAGTTCCTGAGTGCCCAGCGTGCGGGGGTCAGGACCCCAGAATGAAGTCATAGGAGTGATGGGACCAGGCTCCACAGGGGGACCCAAGGCTCCCCCATTTAAGGGGAGGGTCCAGCTGCAGTGAGGAGGGAGTTGACCAAATGGGGGGTAGTCAGCACCATTCCCAGGCACACCTGCTTGAGTTGGAGTCCTGGTGGCCAGGCCCAGAGATCTGCCTTTCAGCCTGTCGCCAGTGATAAGTGGTAACCCCAGGGTTCCCTGCGAGCGTGGGGCTTGAGCCCTGACCTCACCCACTGTGGCGTCTCTGGCTCATCCCCACCAGGGCAGGTGTGTGGCCCGGTTCACTCTCACTGCCCCAACTTCCCGGACCTGCAGTCCCACCCCCTCTCAAACTCTGCTACTTCCTAGGGTCCGGGTGTGGGTGGGGCCTGGGTCGATGGGCATCACAGCCAAAATGCGGTCAGTGAATTAGTCTCCTCTGGGCCCTAGAAGGCTCCACCCAGGGCCACCCTGCAGGAGGGGGCAGGACAGGGGCCAGTTCCGTGTGACGGGAACAAGGGTGCACCCCTGGGTTTCATCCCCCGCCCTTTCTCCTGGCCTTGCCTCCCGGTCCCCCACACGGGCCTGTGGGGAGCGAACACTTCAGGTGAGGCGAGGGTCCCCCGCCAACAGCCTTGGAGGGTCATGACGGCAGCACAGCGGCCTGGGGTGCCGGGTCTGGGCCCTTCTCTTCCTGGGAAGGAAACGGAGGTGCAGGACGGGGCTTCAAGTGGCCAGGTCATCCCAGCACACTGGCCCTGCCTCATAGCCCTCCAGCCTCGGGGAGTTGGGGCAGTCATGCAGGAGGAACTGAGAAGTGTGCGCTGGGGCCCCGGGCTAGTCCGCATGGGCTTCCTGGAGGAAGGGGTGCTGGGCTGTGACTTGATGCAGAGAAGGGGTGCAGGCACAGTTGCAGATGGGAAAGGTCGGGGGCAGTGAGGTCAGGGCCGGGGGGCTGCAGGAGAGGGAAGGACTGACGTGCGACTTGAAAGCTTTCCCACCAGCTGCCAAGTGGGGAGGGAGCCATCCGGGCAGAAGGGGAGGCAGCTCCAGGTCAGGGTGGGGTTGGGGGGGGCTGCCCAGTGAGACAACGCTGCTGCCCAGAGGGGGGACGGCGGGGGCGGGGGCGGGGGCAGCGGCTCAGGGCCCAGGAGATGCAATGGAAGCCGCCGTGCCCCACGTTCCACCCCCCCCTGGGGGTTTCTGACCCCAGTTCGCCTGCTCGGCTCTGCTTTTGCTCAAAGCCCTGGATGGGGCTGCTGTCCTTGGGGTCAGGGTGAGGCTGCCACCCCCAGACACCCCCTCCCGTCTCCCAGTGCTCCCTCCTGCCTAGCAGCCAAGCTGGTCCCGCTAGTCCAGCTAACTTTGTATCTTCTGCTCCGGGAGAAGTTAGCAACACTGTTCTCTCTGTGCGGGCCACTGTATTGAAACAATGTCCCTGTGTCGCTCCAGGCGCCCCAGAGTCGGGAGGGGGGTGGTCTTTCAGACTCGTGGGCTGGACTCAAGTTGTCTCAGAAGGCCCTGGGGATGGGGGTGGGGGTATCAGACCCCCAGGCCGGCACCCCCATCGAAGCCCCTGCGTCTAACCCCACCCCACACGTGGATCCCCTGTACCCCTTCCACCAGGTCAGACCCCAGCCCAGCCAGTGACAAACCACAGAGCTGTGTCCATGAGCGTCCCCTCAGAATCTGGGACCACCAGGGTCTCTGGAGGTCACCTGAATTAGGGTGCAGGAGACCTGGGCTCCCCTTGGGCTGGGGAGGGTCAGTTGGTCAGGAGAAAATCCTAGGTCATTTCCACAGTCTGACCCGGGGCTGTCCTGCCCATCGGCTGGGGAGTTGGTGTGAGGGGCGTGCATTCGTGTCCTAGAACTGACCTACCACACTGGACGGCTGGAAACCATAGAAACGAGTGCTCCCCCAGATCCAAGGGCGGGAGTACAAAATCAGGGTGTTGGCAGGGCCATGCTCCCTCCAGAGGCTCTGGAGACCACCTGTACCATTCTAGCTTTCCCGGCTTCTGGCAGCCGGGCAGACCTGATGTCCCTAAGCTGTGGCTGCCTCATCCCATCCCCATCTGTGGCTCCGTTTTCACAGGGTTTTGTCTTCTCTTTGTGTCCCTCCTCTTAGAAGGACACCTGTCACTGGATTCAGGGCCACTCCAGTACAGCCTCGTGTTAACTAATTACACCTATAAGACATTTTCCAAATGTGGTCCTGTTCACAAGTACCAGGTGGCCGTGAATTTCACTCTTCAGTCCACAACGGGTCCTCCTTGCCTTCTTGCCAAACCCACCACCACCTCCAAGTCTGGGAGCGGAGGGGAAACCGAGAGCTATGTGTTTGAGGATAAAGCCCAGGGTGGGTAGGGCAGTGAAGTGGGGGCCCGCGTCCTCATTGTGTCCCCCCCCCGCCCCCTCACCACCCCAGGGTGCAAGATCAAGGCTCTGCGTGCTAAGACAAATACGTACATCAAGACGCCGGTGCGCGGGGAGGAGCCGGTGTTTATCGTGACTGGCCGCAAGGAGGACGTGGAGATGGCCAAGCGTGAGATCCTGTCCGCCGCCGAGCACTTCTCCGTGATCCGCGCTACGCGCAGCAAGGCCGGCGGGCTGCCCGGCGCCGCGCAGGGTCCGCCCAACCTGCCGGGACAGACCACCATCCAGGTGCGCGTGCCCTACCGCGTGGTGGGGCTGGTGGTGGGGCCCAAGGGCGCCACCATCAAGCGCATCCAGCAGCGGACGCACACGTACATCGTGACGCCCGGGCGCGACAAGGAGCCCGTGTTCGCCGTGACGGGCATGCCCGAGAATGTGGACCGGGCGCGCGAGGAGATCGAGGCGCACATCACGCTGCGCACGGGCTCCTTCACCGACTCGGGCCCCGACAGTGACTTCCATGCCAACGGCACTGACGTCTGTCTGGACCTGCTCGGAACGGCCGCCGGCCTCTGGGCCAAGGCCCCCAACCCTGGGCGGCGGCCCCCCGCGCCCACAGCAGGCCTCCGCGGGGATGGGACCCTGGGGGGCCCCGGGGGGCCCGAGGCCTTCTACGCGGGGGGCCGCGGGGGGCCGCCGGTGCCCGATGCGGGCCCTGCCAGCCCCTACGGGGGCTCGGGCAACGGGGGCTTCACCTTCGGCGGGGATGGTGCGGGGGCCCCATCGGGGCCGCCCGCCCCCGAGGACTGTGACTTCGGCTTCGACTTCCTGGCGCTGGACCTGACCGTGCCCGCCGCGGCCACCATCTGGGCCCCCTTTGAACGGGCCGCGCCGCTGCCGGCCTTTAGCAGCTGCTCGGCCGTCAACGGGGCCCCCGCGCCCCCCGCCCCCGGCGCCCGGCGCAGCAGCGGGGCCGGCACGCCGCGCCACTCGCCCACGCTGCCCGAGCCCGGGGGCCTGGCCCTGGAGCTCCCGCTGGCTCGCCGCGGCGCCCCGGACCCGGTGGGCGCCCTGGCCTGGCGGCCGGCGCAGGGCGCCCTGTCGTCCTTCTCCAGCGGCGCCGGCTTCTCCGCGGCCACCTCGCTGCCCAGCGGTTCCTCGGCCTCTGCGTGTCCCCCGCTGGACTCCAGTGCCTCCGAGGGCGGCCGCAAACCCCCAGCGGCCGCGTCTCCGGCCGCCCCGACCCCCGCTGCCCCCGCCCCGGCTCTGGCGCGGGAGTGCGTGGTGTGCGCGGAGGGCGAGGTGATGGCCGCGCTCGTGCCCTGCGGCCACAACCTCTTCTGCATGGACTGCGCCGTCCGCATCTGCGGCAAGAGCGAGCCCGAGTGCCCGGCCTGCCGCACGCCTGCCACCCAGGCCATTCATATCTTTTCCTAGCGGCTTGGCTGGCCGCCGCAGGCCCGGGGGGCGGCGCGGAGGGGGCGGCGCGGCGGGGGCGGCGGGGCCAGCCTTCACAGACGAGCTTTAACTCGGTCCCAGGCGTGGAGACGGCTGCCCGACGGCATCTCAGTTCTTAACAAATAAACAGTATTGAGTCGACAGGTTAAAATAAAACAGAGAGAAAAGGTCTGCTTGCACTTTTTATTTAAGACCCCCCGCCCCCCAGGGTGATCTTTTTAAGGAGAAAAAAAAAAAAAATATATATATATATATATATATATACACACACACGATTTTTACAACTCCCCATTGTTCTTTGGGACTTGGATTTCTGACTTGACAGCCCTGGCTTCGGAGGCGGCCGCAGCCTCTGTGAATCCCCTCCAGGAGAATGGCGACATTTTTACTCCATCTGGGGGGGGGCGGGGGGGGGGGGCTAACCTGTTACCCTTTTGTATGTCGGTGGGGGGCGGGACAGGCTGGAGGGGGCGGGGTGGGGGGCAGGGGAGGATCCAACCAGAAATTTCTAACTTTTTGTTTTTAATTATTAATCCCCTTCTGCTGTGGTTTCTTTTGTCAGTTTTTAAATTTTTTTAAATTGTGTTTTTTTTAAACTTTTACTTTTTACCTCTTGTGTATATGTAGGGAATTTATAGGGAAATATGTACTTTATGGAATAAATTTTAAGAACTAAAATATATTTTATTTTAAATAAAATAATGGACCTTTAATCTTACACAGCTAAATTACTGATTATATATTTGCTGAGCTGACTTAAGGGTTCAGAAAATTGTATCAAGAGTTTTATTTTTTGACTTCAAAGCCTTCTTAATAAAGTCTTTTTACTACATGTGAGCCCTTGGCGTGGTGTGGGGCGGGTGGGCCTGGGAGAGGGAGGGGGAGGGGTGCTCAGAGCCAGCCCCCTCACACCCTAATCTTCCAGATAAAGGAATTTGGACTCAGGATACCCCATGCCCAAGCCCAGGCTCTTCTAAAAGCCTGGCACTGTGCCTAGTTTCAGATGAGGGCGTTGGGTCTGGAAGGGAAGGTGGTGCAGCCAGACCCGCCCTTTTGAGGCTCAGGTCCCCTACATTCCAGGGGCCAGACAACCATGGGGCCGGCTGTGGCCACTGTGGAGGGAGGAGTGCCAGGCTCTGTGATGTGTGTGGGGGGGGACTCCTAGTCCCGTTGTGCAGAGGGGAAACTGAGGTCTGGAAATCCCACTCCCAGATGGGTTCTAACACCTCCCAGTCTCCGAAGGACATGTGAGTGATGACCACACATGCCATCCCTCCCTCACCAGGTCTAGTTGGGAGCAGAGGACCATGCCCATGGGGCCACTAGACAATTCAGGGCCGGGTTGGCCCTGGAGTCAGGTCTGTGGGATTATGGGTTGAACCACCTGCAGTCAGCAGGTGCCACCAAAGTTCCCAAGGAGGGGAAGAAAGCTCTGGAGTGAGTGGAGGCATGGGACTGCTCCAGAGACAAGCTGGGGAGCCAAGGGCCCATAGGCTGCTGGCTTGAGTGGGCACTGAGGAGGGGTCTGCAGAACAGAGCCTGCTAGGAAAACTAGGAAGGCATGGTGGAGCAGCCCGGAGGGCCTCCAAGAGGAGGCACGGGGGTCGGGAAGACAGGTCAGGTGGGGCAACGGGAGGGGGCAGATGGATGGGGCACGCCATGGGCCTTGTCTCCAGTGAGTGGTGACCACGTCAGCCTCTCCAGCTGAGTGGCAGCCCTGGGGTGAGTCTTAAAGAGCCACACATACCTGGGGTTCCAGCCCACTCTGGCTGGAGTTTCCCCATCTGTGAAATGGGGATACTCCACACTTCCAGCTCTGGTGAGGATCGTGGGTGGAAGCAGTTGAATCATGGCCCCGGAACCTGTGAATGGACCTTATTCGGAAAAATGGTCTTTGCAGATATAATTAAGGATCTTGAGATAAGCCCTAAGTCTAATGACAAGTGTCCTTATAAAAGACCTACAGAGGGGGATTCAAGACTCAGACACAGAGAGAGAAGCCATGTGAAAATGGAGGGGAGCCCAGCAGCGCCTGGAGCCCCCAGAAGCTGGAAGAGGCAGGGAGGACCTTCTCCTGGAGCCTCCAGAGGAAGCCAACAGTGGGGGAACAGATGCCTGTTGTTTTAAGCCACTGTCTTTGTGGCAATTTGTTACAGCAGGCCACAGGAACCAGTGCGGGTTGGTGGGCAACATGGAACCTGGGGTCTGGCCCACAGTTCAGTGGGGGGGGGGTGGACATGGCTGCCGTGGCACCTGGTGAGCTGGGGTGAAGTTAGACCATAGCCCTCGCCCTGCAGGAGGTTATGGAGGCAGTGGGAGGTGAGTGTGGAGACCATCCTCCTGACATTTTGGACACAAAGAGAAAGAGAAAGCAGTCCCTTGAGGGGCTGAGGGGTCGAGGGAAAGACAGGACATCAAGGGGGTTGAAAGTCCTTGGGAAGGAGATGGGGGCTGGAGCCCAAGCAAGGGGTTTCTGAAAGATGCAATGGGGGAGGGCCTGATCTGAGGACATTCTATCTTAGAACTGTCCAGAAATGTCTGAGGGATGTGCTCGCTCCCTACTGAGGGGTTGTGAAGCCGATCATTGGGAGGCCAGAGTTGCTGGTGCCCTTGGGGAAAGCTGAGAGATGGCCAGAGGTGGACTCCCGAGCTTGCCATTTGAGGCCCTGGATCCAGCTGTGCCTGAAGGCAGACCATCCCAACCTCTCAGCTCTGAGTGCCAGTAAACTCTCCTGCTTTGCTTAAGCCAGTGTAAGCTGGAGTAACTCAAACTCATAACCACCTACAGGGACCGTATTCCTGGCCAGAGAGCTGGGGAGCATTTCCTGGGGTGAGCAAAAGCAAAGCAAATACCCCGTGCATTTAGCTTCTTCACAACTAGACACACTCAGGGAAGCCAAAGTCTGAGGCAAGCTTCCATTGCCCTTGTCACTCGTCTTTCTTGGTTCATGGGCTCAGCACATCGAGGTGACCCTTGTCCAGTGTCTTCTGAGAAAGCCTTTATTCTGGGCCTCATCAGATTTCGGGAGATGATGAAGGATAAGCCCGTAGTTCTCCCATCTGTGAGATTGAGCCACCCACAAAGTGGGCTCAGTGTGGGAATGCTATGTCACCTGCATGACCATGTGTGTCCCTGGCAAGTCCCTGGGACGGGAATGGTAAGTCACCTCATGCCCACCATGTGTAGGGAAAATCAGGAGCTCTAGAGACAGACATTGGAGTCGCACCCTGGCTGACCACTTTCCTGCTTCATGCCCCTGGGCATGTTATCTCCCGGGCCTCAGTTTTCTTATCTTAATCATCTGCAGCTGAGTACGAAGCCTGGCAGATGTTAAATGCTGGTCTGTAGTAGTCCCCACCCTCCATCTCTGCCCTCAGCTGAATACACTCTGGAGGGGATCAATTCAGATATAAACCTTTGAGGCCAGAAAAAAAACAACAAACCGAACAGGAGAAGAACAAACAGTGCCTGGAAACTGGAAGGTGCTCAGTATTTGTTGGGTGGATGGATGAATAGGTAGATTGTGAGTGAATAGTGAATGGATGGATAGATGGATGGATGGATGGATGATAGATGGATA